GATCAATACTACCAAAGATTTGCTCATGGTACTCAGAGTAGTTCACATTTAAAACTCATGAATTGTTTTTTCCTGAAAATTTCTACTAGTACTTTCGTCTGAGGTTGATCCTGGGCAATTAAAACACAGAGAGTGAAATTGTGGTTTAGGGGGTGTACTGTAGCATATTATGTAACATTGTACTAGCTTCCAAAATCTTTCCTCATGTCTAAAAATCAACATAAGCTTATTCATATTATTCTTTGATTTATTCTTTTTATATTTTTCTCTTTATAGCACTGTTCCAAAAAACTTACGCATATTTGAACATTGAGCCCTTTATTGAAACCCATGGATGATCACTACTGTTCTGGGAGACTCCAATCGATACTTCACGTGCGAGAGAGGTCAGAAGTTTCTAACAGAAAATAAAAAATTTTCATGTAAGTAACCATTATGATAGGTTGTATTAGCTTTAAAAGTACAGATAGTGTATTTTTCATAAGATCCCTAATTTTTTAAACAATATACTAAACTTAAAAAATTTCTGTAGTGTCTACATTTTTTGTGTAAATTCAAGGTATTCAAGCATGTTTTTGTTACATGTATATATTGCCTTGTAGTTAAGTTCAGTGTTGAAGTAAAACCATCATCTGAAAAATGTACATTGTACTCATTAAATAATTTCTCATCCATCATCACCCCCCCATACCTTCAGTGCTTTCAAGGTCTGTATTTCACTCTTTATGTCCATTTGTGCCGGGAGCTGCAATCACTAGTAAAAGTAAGGTAAAAGGGACCTGAAAATAGGAAAAACGCCGGCTGGGAGCAAGGCCCCAGTAAAATGTGGCCATGACGGAGGCAAAGCCCCATGGATCCTGTTGATGGACCTTCCCTAACTTTGAAGGATTGCGTGCATAGGCTTCAGAATATTCCCTCTTTAATTGAGATAATAGATATGCAAGTGGATGATGGCATTTGACAGCAAAAATTATACATAGGCATAATGGAGGTGAGATTGCAGCAAAAAGGGTGCCCCTTAGAATGTGCAAGGATGTGGAATTAGCAATAAACCTATGTATAAAAATGTATAAAGGGCTCAACAGCAAAAAATATCCCCCCTGAAGGGACCGGGGAATGCAAATTTTCTACCTTTAGCTAAAAAGGAAAAACAAGTACTTCCTCACACCCTTTATAAGTTACAACATTGACAGTTGTGATTGATGAGGAAGTGAGAAACTGAGACAGAGTATCTCCACAAACAAGTATTTTTGGGAAAAACAAGTCACAAACATGCCTTTTGATTTAAGAAATATTATAGTTTAATTAGAAAGAGGGTTAAAATTAAAGTAAGGATTAGAATTAAATAGATAGCAGTTATAATTAAAAGATAAATGTTTATTATAGATGTAGGTATTAGTTAAATATAAGGAATAGGAAATAATTAAGTTTTAAGGTAAAACTTAAAATTATATACACTTAATGTAGGTTTAAAATTAAATACATTTAGGATTAGAAGTAAGATTAATTTCATATATAAGTGTAGATTTAGACATAAGTTTTATTTAGAAATATAAAATGTAAAATGGGTAGAATTAAGAAAATAGATTAGTAAAGGAAAAGAAATAGAATATTGAAGGGAAGAGATTCAGTTGGCCTAGAGGTCACAGGATGTGGCTGATAAATTGGCAGCG